AAGAATTCTAACAATGGTTGTGACTAGACAACCGTTATACGGTGGACATTAAACACAAATCTATAAATGCAACCGTATGTGTTGTGTGTGCTATGTCTCATGTGTAATGTAATGCAAGTAGCCAACATTATATTGTAGCTCATTTAAGACCTTTGGTTCAATTTGCCAACCAGATTAGAGATATAAGAAACTTGCAAGCACGTGTTACCACGTTCATTTCTTAGATCTACAATTTAAATAGTGAGTATATATATGTTTGTAAAAGTGATTGTAATCTATAATTATGCATCAATCCTAAATTCCTAATGCATGCACGATTGTATTATTGTATATGTAATAAATGAATAGTTTTTGCTAGATGGTTACGTTTGAGAAAAGAAAAAATGTAATCAACTTTTATATTATAGTATATAAATATAATAAAACGCTGGACATTAACATAACATAAATGGTTTTTCCATTTTCACAACTACCACCAACCTAAAGACTACAAAGCCTGTCTTTGTCAGAATTTTGATAGACACGTGACTTTTACACGTAAATGTGGCCTTTATGTTTTCATACAACTCATATATAGCATAAAGTTGAATCCAAATTCAATATAAGTCGGCAACCAAAAACCAAACCAGTGATGACACTAATATTATAGCACGTAATAATGACATGCAAGCGAAGTCAATTAATCAAAAAATCTAGCTGGTAAGTGTACTAAATGCTTTATTAAGTGACACCGAGACACAAATAATTAAATTTTGAGAGGAAAAATTGAAGCCGGTAATTCTACTAAATGCTTAAATTCTCCCAATAATTTCAAGAAAATCATGAGCTGTCATTTAGCCTTTTCAACTTTTAAAAGTCGAATAAGAAAAAGTCCTTAGATTATATTCTTCCACAAATCACGACGACTCATAACAGTCTAAAAATCAAACCGGATTAAACCAAACCGGATAATAAAACAGAATCTAAATATCAAAGAAAAGAATAAATTTATTACCTGAAGCATTTGTTTAGCGAGATCAATGGAGATTAGTCCAGCACTACATCCCATTCCACCAAGATTATAGCTCAAAATGTTTCCTCTAAGCTTATACTTATTCACAATCATAGCAGAAAGTGACGGCGTTGGATTAAACAAACTACAATTCACCACAAGGATTCCAATATCTTTAGGTTTAACACCGGTCTTCTCAAGAACCGCGTCAATAGCTCCGAACATAACTGTCTCTGCCTCCTTTCTCGCTTCTTCCATACAAGGATTAGGAGGGACACGAAGAAGGGCTTCAGGGAAGTAAGTTTTTTGACCTAGACCCGATCTTTCAAGGATCTTTTGTTGGAAAGCTAGGTTGTCTTCTGTGAAGATACCTACACGTTGAGATCTGTCCATGAATGTTTCTCGAGTGCAGATCAGTGAAGGGTCTGGTTTGTAACATGAGAAGTCGAGGAGGAAGACACGGCGAGGACGTGTGGTGAAGTAAGCGGTGGAGAGAGAGATTAAGAGTCCGGTGGCTAGTGTGGCGGAGAGGAAATGGAAACGGAGTGTGTTGTAGAGGAGAGAGAGGTCGTTGATGGTGAAAGAAGAGAGGTTAGCGATTGTTGCGGCGAGGAGAGGGAGGAGGAGGATGTAGAGTGCGTTGGAGATTAGGTAATGGTAACCGAGTTTTACGTATTTGAGACGAACGGATAAGAGAAAGTTTGGGAGGTTGTTTGGGTTAGGGTTTGGCTCGGCGTTTGTGACATGGACCGGGACTGGCCGGTGAGGTTGGTTCTGGTTATGGCTCATCGTGAGAATGAGCAAATGTTTAGGATGAGGATTTGTTGAGAAGAGAAGTGTAAAGTGAAAGATTTGTTTCTCTCTCTTTTTCTCTCTTTCAAGATTTGTTTTGAGAGAGAGAGAGAGGAGAGAAGAGAATGGCCTAAAAAGTTGGAGGAAATTTGAGAATATAATGGAAAATTTTGAGTGAGAGAGAAAGAGAGAGAGACTTGGCTATTAAATGTAGTTAGGGGAAATGGGAAATATTAAGGACAAAAATATGGTTTTTTTAAGAAATAATATACAAAAAGAATTAATAATGTTAGCAAATAAATTGTTCAAACTAGTAAAGCCATCAAAAACATTTGTTGCTCAAACTCGTCAAGCAATTGTTTTAGGATCGTACTAGATTTTTTAATCCATAAATTATTTAATAAGTATTAATATAATTTTAAAAATTATGAGAAAATGGTAATTTAGAATTCAATTGTGGAATTATTTATATTTTTCCAAATAAAAAGGCTGTTACTTTTGTTTAATCAACAAAAAGGCTATTACTTACAAGTTAAAAAAATAGTATCAGATTTATTTCCATGTACAAAAATGGAATTACACTCAAAATATTTTACTTTAAAAATCTTAAATTTCTATTACATATGGAAAACGCTTTGTACACGATTTATATAAATTTAACATCAAAAGGAAAATGAAAGTATGTTTTAAAAATAAAAACATCGAAACTTTTCTTTAAAAAATGGATAAAAACATCGAAACTATGTAGAGAGGGAAGATGCAACTACCCCAACGAAGCTTTTAATGTTTTTAGACAGTTGAGATTTGACACCTAAGAGACGGCGATGACTTTTATCCAATTGGGGGCTTTTAATTTGGCCGCGTACTATGAAACTTACTCTTTTACCCTTACGTTGACCCGTTATTTTCGAAATTACCCTTTTTTGTTAACAACTTGAAGACACTTACGTACGTGGCCGTGTGAACTTATGTAATAGAATGTTCAATCATTTTTTTTTAGAATGTGCAATCATATTTTATGATTCATATATAGATGGAAAATTAAGTGAACCGAAATAGAAGTTTGTTGAACTAAATATGAGTAAATGTGTGGGTTATTGCCACTAAACTAGTTCATCCATTTCATGTTATTTTGAAAGAAATTGAGCAAGTCTTACAAATACCACTTAAAGCTGTTTAAAGGCATATGTGGTTAGCCTTTAAACAGCTTAAAGGCATATGTCATAGATAAAAAGTCGATTTTCTCTCTCCTGAGGCGATCGATAAGGCGATTAACTTTTTAACCTAATCTCCGCCGTCCGTCGGCCTCTCGCCGGCAGATGAGAACGCTCCGATGGCTAAGAAGAAAAAGAAAGGCTCTTCTCGCTCTCGGCCCAAGGTTCCTGGCACTTCTCAGTTTGCTCGCATCTCCTCTGTGGTTAGCCTCCCATCTCTTGTTCGCGATGGCTTGACTCCGGCTTCTTCATCTGAGCAAGGCTCCTCTCCGCCGGTCCTTCCCGCTGCGCCGGCATCACCTCCACAGTCTCCTCTCCCAATTGCAGGCTCAGATCTAGGGATTCAGTCGGCCTCGGTTTCCGCGCCTGCTCAATCCGTTTCCTCTCCGGCGGAGATCTCTTCGCCGCTAACTTCCGGTCTTCCATTAGCTGTTGAGGCTTCTGCCTCCGGCCCTGCAGATGTGGCTCCTTCTGTCGCTTCTCCCGGTGTTACCACTGTGGATCTCTCGCAGGCCAAGTCTCCGCTTGGTTTGGATCAACGTTGGACTAGCCTCTTTGGCGACTCTTCTAAGCTTGAGGAAATCGGTTCTCCTTCTCAGCACATTTCAGGAGTTCCTTTTGTTCTCATTCCCGATGACAACATTGCTGCGGCAAGAGAAGAGTTCAAGGACTTCATCTTCGTGCAGTTTCAAGGTAATCCGCCAGAAATGGGTAGAGTCATTGGAGTGGTAAATGCTCTCTGGGCTCGCTCTGGACCTCGTATTTATGTCCACAACATTGGCCCTGGTTCATTTCTGTTGCGTGTCTCCAATCCTTGGACTAGAGCCATTCTGCTTGGTCGCAATGTCTGGAATATCGCAGGCTTCCCAATGTTTGTTTCGCCGTGGTCTCCTGAATTCACTCCGGATTCTCCACCGATTACCTCAGCCTCGATCACTGCTGAATTCCGAGGAGTACCTTACCTACTTTTCAATAACGAAAGTCTTAGCAGGATAGCTACTGCTGTTGGAAAGCCGATTGCGCTGGCACCAGAAACTGAAAGGAAAGAAAACTTCGAGGTTGCTAAGGTGCTTGTTCGTGTAGACCTCACTAAAGATCTTCCTTCCAAAGTCATTTCTGGGTTCTCTGATGGTCGTGAAGTGGAGATAGACGTCTCTTACCCTTGGTTGCCGCCGCAGTGCTCTGAATGCAACGCTTATGGCCATGATCTTGTTCGCTGCCCTTCTTGGAAAGGAAATTTCTCTTCTCTCAAACGGAGAAGTAACAGGTCTCGCAGTAGACCGAGAATACGGCGTCGCTCGAGGCAGGGTAGATCTTCCGAGAGAACGTTGAAGACAAAAGCAAATCCAAGCTCATCACAATTGGTGTGGAAGGTGAAACAAGGACCCGTTTTGGGTCAATCTGCTGAGGATATGTCTTCTCAGAACCAAGTTGAGGTCTCTAATGAGGATCTTTCGGTTGCAGAGGCAGAGCAAGGTTCTGCAAATCAAATTTTGGAGTGGTTGGCTGAAGGAAAATTTGGCCTATCTACTCAATGAGTAGTGGAGTTGACAGCCCACGCTGAGAGCACAATCTCTAATGGATTGCCTTCTTCTGTTCTAGAGGAGCCAATCGCAGAAGAACAAGAAACTCCTTTCATCCTGGTAACTCGCAGGAGGAGTGGCCGCAAGGTCACGCTGTCACATTAACCAACATTTAATATGTTTTTTGTGTGGAATATTAGAGGACTTAACAGTAATAGACGTCAAGACTCTACAAAAGCATGGATTTCCCTCCATAAGCCACTTTTTGGAGCGTTTCTCGAAACGTATATTCAGCCGGCGAATGCCGGTCGTGTAGCTAGAGCTATTCCAGTTGGATGGAAATTTTTGGGCAATTTTGATCACCATAGTACTGCCAGGATTGTATTGTGTTGGGATCCCTCTGTCTCTTTGGTTGTGTACCAAGCTTCTGCTCAAATGGTAACTTGTGGCATCTTCATACAGTCTTTGAGCTTAAGTCTCACTGTTTCTTTTGTTTATGGTCTGAATCTTCCTGCGGAGCGTCTGCCTTTGTGGGATGAATTGGCTTGGCTGAATGCAAACTCTCCTGTCAATCGCCATCCTTGGGCTGCTGTTGGTGATTACAACCAGATCCTTAGGCTCTCACATCACTCTGAACATCTTTCTCAAGATGTGGACACTTGCGGGATGGATGATTTTAACTTGGCTTTGCAGGTTTCTGAGCTCTTTGAGGCACATGCTAAGGGTCTTCCCTATACATGGTGGAATAATCAGGGAGATAACCCAGCATCTAAGAAGATTGACCATGCTTTAATCAACCAAGCTTGGGCTTTATCCTTTCCTGAGTCCTTTGCTGAATTTCTGGAGCCTATTCAGTCAGACCATGCGGCATGTCTGTTTCAAGTCCTTGCTATGAAACGCTCTGTGCGCAAACCTTTTAAGTTCTTCCAGCATGTGGCTGATCATCCTGACTTTCTGGATTCCATCTCTCAAGCATGGACTCCCCATTCCATTCAAGGTTCTTGTCAATATAAGCTTGTTAGATCTCTTCGTAAGCTCAAGTTGGTTTGCACCAGCTCAACAAACGCCACTATAGCGGTATTAGTGAGAGAGTTAAAGCTCAATCCGATAAGATTGCAAATCTTCAAAGGCTTCTACTCTCTTCTCCTGATGTCGATGCTGCTAGGGAAGAGCACCAAGAAAGAGCTTTGTGGCAGTCTCTAATCACTGCAGAAGAAAAATTCTTTCGCCAGAAGTCTAGGGTTATTTGGCTGCATCTCGGTGATAAGAATACAACTTTTTTCCACAAAACTGTTTCCGGAAGAGCTGCCAGGAATCATATTCACTTCCTCTGCGATGCAAATAACCAGCGGATTGTTAATATTTCAGAGATTAAGAGCTTTGCTGCCACTTATTTTGAAGGCATCCTTGGCTGTTCTGAGATGCCTCTTTCTCCTGTTACTGTTGAGGAGCTGCGAGGGCTGCTACCCTTCAGGTGTTCAGCCTCCCAAGCGCAAAGTCTACAAAATCCAGTGACTCCAGAGGAAATCAAAGCCGTGGTCCTTGCTATGCCTTTAAACAAGAGCCCTGGTCCGGATGGTTTCTCTGTTGAATTCTTTCGTGCTTCTTGGGATATCGTTGGGAAGGAAGTTGTGGATGCAGTGCAGGAATTTTTCAGAAATGGTCGCTTGCTAAAGGACATGAATTGCACTATAATCGCCCTAATTCCTAAAGTACCAGAAGCTTGCCAGTTAGGGGACTTCAGACCTATCAGTTGCTGTAATCTCATCTACAAGGTCATCTCCAAGATTATTGCTAACAGAATGAAACCGATCCTTCAGGCTTGTATCAGTCCAAATCAGGCGGCTTTCTTGAAAGGTAGAAGCTTAGGTGAAAATGTCCTTCTCGCCTCTGATTTGATTAGGAATTACCAAAAATTAGCTTGCCCCAAGAGTTGCATGATAAAAGTTGATATCAGGAAAGCTTTTGATACTATTTGCTGGGATTTTGTTCTTAAAGTTCTTGAAGCTCAGAGTTTCCCTGCTCTCTTCTGTGCATGGATTAAGGAATGTATCTCTTCCCCAAGGTTCTCTATCTCTATCAATGGAGAGCTTGCTGGTTTTTTTCCGGGTAGGAAGGGTCTCCGTCAAGGGGATCCCATCTCTCCTTATCTCTTCATTTTAGTCATGGAGGTCCTTTCTAAGCTCCTTGAAGCTGCTGCCTCTGCTGGAAATTTCAGACTGCATCCGCTCTGCCATGAACCCCAGGTTACCATCTCTTATTTGCAAATGATCTACTGGTTTTCACTGATGGAGCTCGCCACTCTTTGTCAGGTGTTTCTGCGGTTATGCTCCAATTTAAGCTGTTCAGTGGTCTTGATATGAACCCCGCCAAATCTGAGATCTTGTTTGGAGGGTACAGTGATGTTGCT